AAAAATGAAGAGGGGACAGTATTGGTTATTCCCGGGAAATTAAATCCACCAATCTGCCTACAATTACGAAAGGCTTTCGGAAAAATGAAAGCACAAATACATGAGCTCAGGAAAATCCAGCGCTACTGACTGTCTATGAAAATATCATACAAGAACAGTTGGACAATAAATTCTTGGGGGGAAAATAGTCGAAGATAAGTTAAAGACAAACGCTCATTATCTCCCGCACCATGGAGTCAGAAAAGATTCTGAAACAACTCCAACTACGTGTTGTATATAATTGCAGCGCGCGGAAAATTAAAGATGTAGCAAGCCCTTAATGACTGATGACCGGACCCTCACTAACTGAGAAGCTTGGAGACGTGCTTATGAAATTTCGCACAAACCCATATGCCTACACGGCTGATTTTTTCCAAAGCTTTCTTAAGAGTAGGACTACAAGAAATAGATAGAGATTATACTCGATTCTTGTGGCCTGAAAATCCACATGATCCTCAAAGTCCTGTGAAAACTTATCGTTTCAAGTCAGTATTGTTTGGTGCAACATCCTCTCCATTCTTACTAGAAGCTACTCTAAATACACATTTGAAGAAATCTGAAAGTCCCTTCAAAGAAATCTTAAAGAAAAGTTTCTGTGGACAATCTTCAAGGTAGTGTGAATAAAGAGGAGGATTTGAAATCCTTATACAGAGAAGCTAACAAGGAGATGAAAGAAGCAAATATGCCTCTAAGGATGTGGAATACAAATTCAAAGCAATTGGGGGAAACTTATCAGAGAAGATTTCCCTGAAGCTGAAATTCCTGATTGCAACAATATGCTGGGACTTAATTGGAACACACAGGAAGATTCAGTGGTCCCTCGTTTTTCGTAATTAATCCGTACCTGGAGGAGCTACTATAAACGAAATTTACGATTTGCGAATCAATTTTCCCCATAAGAAATAATGTAAATACAATTAATTTCCGTTTCTGACTCAGAAGTTTTAAAACAAAAAATTTTTTACATGAAAATAACATGAGTACATAAACAATACAATGGGAAATAATGAATGAAACATTAACAGCATAATACTTACCTTTATTGGAGATTCTTATTAGTGTATGGGAGACTGGAGGAGGAGAGAGATTGGATTGTTTACAGTTTGGAAGGGGAATCTCCTTCCAGCAACACCTCAGGTACCAATTGCTTTTCGGGGTTTTCTTCTTCTCTGTTTCTTAATGCCACTAGGACCACCTTGAGAGTCACTGGAGTCCTGTCTCACAAAGTACTTGTGGAGAGAGCTCTGTTTCTGGCGTCTCTTTAACACTTCCCTAAAATGGTACAAGACTTTGTCACTGTACATATTTCTCACCTTCTTTACCACAGGCTTGGCACTAGGAGCTTTCTTTGGAGCCATGGTAGCTTATTTAGTACTTACAAGCACTAAAATGAGTGGAATATTATGAAATATTTCGTAGGAGCACTTGAGGGGACCTTCACTCACTGGTAAACAATGCCAGACTGGCTGGGTAGGGAGGCCTCCCCGGCTCACACCATGCGTAAGCGTCCTGGACGAACTTCTATTCGCGAGTCAACCTATGAAAAGCGAGTCCATGTTTATACGAAAATACCCCTATGATTGGCGAAATTTACGATTGCCGAGAACTACGAAAAGTGAGGGACCACTGTACTTTGAGTCTCAAAAAGATAAACAATAAATCATACAGTACACTCACTAAACGTAGTTTACTGTCAGAGGTATCACAATGTTTTGATCCTCTAGGACTCGTCTCACCAATTACCATAAAGGGTAAAATGCTTATGCAAGATGCATGGAAGCTCAAAATTGGATGGGATGAGAACTTGCCTCTAGAAATGAGTCAAGCATGGGATGAAATATCCAAGGAGTTTAAGCAACTTCATCAAATTAAATTTCCCAGAAAAATAGGTCAAGAGGGAAACAATTACACATTACATGTGTTCTGTGATGCGTCAACCAGAGGTTATGGCGCTGTAGCTTACATGAGTAATGCTGAAGGAAGTACACTATTACTTCAAAGGCCAGGGTAGCACCCTTGAAGGTCAGAACAGTACCACAATTGGAAGTGACAGCACTCTATGTAGGTACAAAATTAGCTGTCTATCTCAACAAAGTACTTGATCA